GAGATATTGTAATTGTATATTTGTACAAGTAATATCGTTCAACGATGGATCGATATTAATCTGATTTACTTGGATTGGTCTTGACGTCGTCCAAGTCATAGTTTTCGTTGGTGCTTCAAATACACTATCAAAAGTCGCTGATGTAGTGTTGTCAGGTTGCATCAAATGAATATTGGTATTGGCTGACAGTTTAGAATGGCCGGGTACAAGCGCACATTTGACAATCAACCCAACAACATCATCATACACTTGTGACAATTTTAATTGTTCACTTGAACCATTAGCTTTTATCTTTATACGTTGGAGCGGACTCAAAAGATTCGCGGTTGTTTTGAGTTCTAAAAAAGGACTTTAACTGAATAAAAGTACAGAATAATAATGAAAGGTACAACGGAAAAAGAACAAGAGTCGATACAACTTCTTGATTCGCAGAAATACTTCGAAAATATAGTTAATAATGTAGGTTTAACAGTATGTGGGAAGCTATCAGAACGCTTTCATGAACTTTTGTGATTATACATTTTTGTAGACCGAGAGAACCTTCAAAAACAGGTAAAAACTCAAACATTAGGAGAATACTCCATCATTTCAACGTTTTGTTTCTAACACTCGACATTTTATAACAAGAGAACTGATAACATTTAAGCTCTCGTTCAAACAGGATACCACTCCAAAACGTGTAAATCAATATTAGAAATTTACTTTAAGTCGGTTTTCTGGTCATCAAGTTTTTCAATTTACTTTTTCCAAAAGAACCCTATCGAATAGAATGATCTGTTCAGAATTGAGAAAGCAAATAGATCATATTGTAGAGCAAGTCACGGCACATCAAGTGGTACACATGATGTTTCATGATTCTTGAGGTTTCACGAAAATTAGTATATATCCATACAGAAAATAATCTCGAACTGAATTCATTTATATGAGGTTTGAGTGTTTGTGTCGCTTTTTTGAATGGTATATTGTTGTGTGATGTCCTCTCTTGTAATAATTAAAACATGAACATGAAAATATGATGATAAATTTTTCGAAATCCATCGATAAGATAGATTAGTACAAAAAAAAGAAAAGCATTCTTTTTTATTATTACACGTATTAATCTAATTGAACTATTACGTATTTGTGTTTCACTACTGTTTATTATTCAGGCAAATATTTTTTGAACTGATTTACAAAAAATATATATATATTATATTAAACGTATATGAAAAATATTGAAACGAATACTAAGTGGAAACAAACAAAAGTGAAAGAATAATAAAAATCGAAATTCACTTTTGAGATGATTTATTTGTGACTTATTTGAAGTACTGATAAAACAAACAATCAGACTATATACTTAAAAAATGTTTTACATGAGAAAAAGATATGAACACTGCCAGTAAAAAGAAAACTTTTTATTCTTCACACGACATATTGTTTTTCTCTACACACGTCATGTGTTCATATATTTTATCTAGTTCAATCCTATTACTGAACATATACCTTGGCTGAGTTTAGGATCAACGATTCATGATAAGCATTGACTAAATGCTTCAAATAACTAGTTATGGGTTCTTTCTACACTATTTTGTATGTAAAATATGCTCAGCATTATATTAGAAAATCTTCAAAAACATCGTGTTGATCGATTTTGAAAAATTTATCATCATACATATTTGCATGTTCATGTTTCTATGATTACAAAAGAAGATATCAAACAATACTATGCCACTCAAAAGCTCGATTCGAGCACTCAAACCTCTTATAAATATAGTCAGTTTGGTATTGTTTTTGTTTGCATATAAATTAATTCTGTGAAGCCTTAAGACTTATGACACATCCTCCATAGTAGATGTTACTTTCATAAAACTTTCAAGGAACTAGAATCAATTTACTTATAGACTACTGTACACCCGAAGCATGATCAGTTATTGATTATTGTGGTCCTTGGTATATAGTCGAAAGTTTTGTAAAACTTTTCATGGGCTACAAGTTCGTATGGTTAACGTCTTTGATCATTTTATCGTTCATAGGTGAAACTGTCATTTTTCAATTATTTACTGTCGTTTTTCATGAGTAGTCGCTAACGATGAGTTTTATTGTGTTCAATAGTGTGGATCATAGCAGATCTGAACGGACGCCGAACTTTCTCAGAAATTGCTCGCGATGTAACGTTAGGAAATACAATATTTTGAAGTTCTTCAAAATAATTACGTGATGCTCAAAATCATTTTCTATTGAGCACTCTAAAAACAGTTTTTTGCATTCATTTTTCTCTTTTTAATACTGTATTCTGACATTTTGAATATCAAAAGTCGAGTTTGGTGCGAAATTAAGAGAGAAAATTCGATATAAAATCTGTTTAGAGGTCTTAATGGAAAGCAATTTTAAGCATCACAAAATTATTTTGAAGAACTTCCAAATAGTGTGTTTTGTAGTGTTACATCGCGAGCAATTTCTGAGACAGTTCAGCGTCTCATCTAATCTTCTATGACTCACACTATTGAAAACATTAAAATTCATCACTAGCGGCTATCCATGAAAAGCGACAGTATATGATTGAATAATGGCATTTTCACCTATGAAAGATAGGATGATCGAAGATGTTAACCATATGAGCTTGTAGCCCATGACAAGCTTAACAAACACTTTCAACTCTACACCAAGGACTACAATAATCAGTAATTGATCATGCTTTAGATATATGATGGTCTATAAGTAAATTGACTTTAGTTCCTTGAAAGTTTGATGAAAATAACATTTACTATGTGCCGTTTTTCTGAATAGACATCTTATCCGACAGGATTTCTTATTGTTATGTTACGGGAAAATTCTTATTGGCTGACTTTCGAAAATATGCGATACAACGTGCATAAGCTTGCTTCTAGCATTTAGAAAATCCAGCATGTAATAAAGGTGTCTTGATTGGCTCATACTGAAGGTCGTCTAATAGTATATTCAGTGTAATAGGGCTGATAATTGTTTTTTAAAGACTTGTAATTTGATCACGCAATGCAGTCCAGACTAATTTGCAGATTCGACTACAGTTTGTCTTCTTCTGAAATGAATTTGGTAGATTGTTTCGGAAGCTTGAAGTATTATTTCTTTATTTTGTTAGCTTTCTGATAAAGGACAGTACAACATTGCTTTTCAGCAGATACCAAAGTGGCAGGAGCTCAAGCAATCGTAGGCTATCCGCAGCCAACTCTTAAATAAATGAGGGAGTTGAAAAATCTACGCTATTTTTGGAAGTATATAAACATAGAGTTTTGGGATTGAAGTTTCAAAGGATTATCTAAGTGAACTTACTGCTATAATAAGTACTGAAAATTCATCAAGTAGCTTGTAAAAAATGTTTCTATGTAAGCTTCAATCCAACAAATTAATTTTTAACACTCTTTCGAGAACATGACTTTCGGCTATTTACCGACTTTTGTACTTCGGAGTAATTGTACTACATCTAGTAGGTAGGCGTTTCTCCTGGAAAGATTCTGAATTCTAAAGACGAAAAAAAGACAAATAAATCAAATATCTATTCATGAATTTATCCGTAACTGATAGCTTATGAAATAGAGGAAATCGGTCTATCGATGGTGATAGTCATATGAATTTGTAACAGCGAAATTAGAGCGACAAATCCGAAATAAACTTACTTCTACTTTGTTTCAATATCTTATATGAATCTATATTATAATTAATTGAATCAATACACTTCGTTGAACAAAATCGATACATTGGATATATGTAATTACGATTATTAGCTCTGACTAGGCAGTAATTTTGACCTTCATGATTTTGTCGACGTTCACATAAATAATATGATGGAAAGAAACTAAGATCTTTTTGTGGTACACAAACACCAAATCCAAAGTCCATTAACATAAGATTAGCATCGCCTGTATGGCAAGTTTCATTTTTTTTCCCATCGCGATTACAACATCCACACATACCAACTGGTGTTGGGCCAGATGGACAACTCATACATGAGATTGGTGGGACAAATATGGATAAAATTATCGACACAATGAACAGAATATCCTTCAGCAATACATTAATTTTCATCATTATATAATATTGATTAAGCGTTGTTTGCACGTATATGAGCTCTTTAAATTTCTCCGAATTCTTACTTATATAGAAGTGATGAAAAAAAACTAATGAAAAACAGAATAAGACTATGAATAAAACAAAGCTTCCTATCTGTAAATCTAGTTTCTGATAATAATTCACTTATACAGAAACAGAAATAATATTTCTTCGTGTTCTATATTAATTGGTTTCCATTTGATCTATTATGGGACATTCTGTCTCCTTCTTTTTGTTTTTTTTTCTACTGCATAGAATATACGTATATAAGAATATGCATATCTCTTTCCTGATACTTATTTAGCCATCAATGACAAAAAGAAAACCAAATATGGCCATGGTAGTTATTACAATTTCTGATGTTGCTTGAAAGCATAACATCAGACACAATTAGTAATATTTCTTTTGCTATCTTCTAACTATTTCTGTATCCGAGTGGAGAGGAATTGTAGCTCTGGTTTTTACTGTAGACTAATTAATTTTTTTATTTCTTTACTATATCATCTGTCATTGATATTTACTCAATTATCAGTGGTAGAAAAAAACAACTATAACCATAACAATTATTACCCACAACTAGAACTATTTCTATTAATTTTTAGCATTGTTTACTACCTTGATCTTCACGATATCCTAAGTACAGTTTCAGTTTTGCGATTTGCTTTTAAAATCACTTTTTGAAACACACTCGCAACCGTTGATATATTTTTAAATATCGTAAAGATTTTAATTTTGTTTCTGATTTGTAAAAGTCTATTTTTCATATTTATATGAAAAAAATTGCATTTCCAGTTAATAAAATAGTTATAACGATTTTCTAAAGGACCAGTTTTAAATATGTGATTAGTTTATAAGAGATAACTTTCTTAGTTTTTATTTTGATGTGTATAGTTTAAATCTACACAAAAAAGTGAAAAAGAGCTGTATTTATTTGCTATATGTGATATTTTCGATTTCATAAGTTGTTATTCTTCTTTGCTCCATTGCCAACTTTTCTTTGATTTTATCATTCAGAATCTATAGACATTATGTCTGAGTGAAGTGAGAAATTGAGAAGATTACAAAAGAATATTGATTCGACGAATATACATTAATATCAACACATTATAAGAATATATATGACTAAATTTATTTAATGAATTATAAGAGTTTTTTAAAATGAGTTGCCTACATTATTAAGATAAATGCTCAACTTATATTATTTATTGTTTTTAATTTGATTGACCATGTATTGAAATTTTCTAAGAGTGCAAGACTCAAATATGAATCGAATCAAAATTTCATTTTTGATCGAGAAAAATTAGAAATATATTAAAAGTTATTTCAGATGTGTCTCTTATATGGAAAAAATCTCGTTTAATTGGCATCCAAGAGAAATAATAAATTTTATAGTAAAAAAAAAATAAAAAAAATATTAATTTTTGAATTATTTGTCAACATAAGAGTTCGTTTTTTTAAGTTATCTATCATCGTTTTTAATAAGATCTTTCGATCCAATTAAAAAATCATATAATTACATCGATAATTTTGAAAGAAATTGATAAAAAATAGTTTCTTTTAAATCTGAATTATTAAGTATCAGTTGAATCAGCTGTCAACTTTAAAAATAATATACCATAGAAATCAATTATCTCTTCCTCTTGATGTAAGATATTGTTGTCTAATATGTCAATTTGAAACCTTCTTCAAGAAGACGACGAGATCTTTCACGTCCAGTGGAATTGTTAAATTCATGATGGGTCTTCTAAAAGCAACACAGAAAAATCTTTATCAATAATATATCTAATGAGGTCAAAAGGGATCGTTTTTTTAGTATATTGATAAAATTGTCTTTTAGAAGAAGTCTGGAACAAAGCACAGCATCATTTCAGAATGTTTCATATCAACACTCGTGCAGTGATGAAAAACCATTCTACATCGACATGCAATATCATGCAGTGTAGTCCGACTCTCAGAACTATTCGAACACCTATAATGATCTCCTTACCTTACACATAAACTGCGTAACTGAGCACTCAGGATAAAAAACCAATATGTCAATGCTGGATTTTTTATTGGTTATTTGAAGTTTATCTAGATATTCAATACAGATCGATTTTCAATAATAGCTCAATAGATACTGTCATTAGCACGATCATCGATGAATGCTGTGATTTCAGTTGTTGTTTAACGGCGTTCATTAGTTCAACAATGTAGATCAGATATAAAACTTAACTTACCTAATAGATCAGAAAGACTTCGAAGAGATTTGTCACAAGGAAAAACAAATAATTTATTTTCTATTTTTCGTGCTACATAATGGATTACTTCCAGATATAAGACATTCTTTCGTTTCTTTTTGTTTAACTATAAATAAATATTTACAATAGAATGATGAAAAATTAAGTGCAGAAAATGTTGAAACATATTCATTAATAAAGTCAATAAGTAAAGATGAAATTCTTGAAAATCCTTTGTCGAATAAAGATAAACATAGTATTTGTGAATGACTAGTGAATGGATCACCTTGAACTGCAAAAACAGCTGAAAGAACAACAGATCAATATATTTTGAACGAAAACAGATTTTAATTGTAAAATATATGCTGAAACTATATTTTATACAGTGTGGATGACACAAAAGAGTTACAGATCATCTACATCCTACCTAGTGACAGTGACTGAGACATCTCATATTTACGCATTATTTCAAATACATTCGAATGAGTCAGAATGAGATTAATTCTTCCCATATATCCTTAAAGATCACTCAGTAGCATCATCTGGCAATAAAAGAAATGAAGCTCAAAAGTAATGTTTGATATCGAAAGTTCATTTGTTTCATAGATGTCTAGTAAAACGAAATATATATGTCATATAATATTGTTTTATATTTTCTTTCAGAAAATTTAATCAATTGATTATTTAATTGACCCAAGATCAACAAATAAAAACTCATGATGCAGCAACAACTGCAAAAGAAACAGAAAAAAATTCATCTGATGAAGATAAAGAAAAATGTCCATGTCGTAAATGATGTTTGAAACAATCTTGCTCTTGTTTTAAAAATGGTAGTGAATGTAATTCATCATGTGGCTGCAATCAAACTTATTGAAATATGTTCAATCATCTTAAATATGTTTTTGGTGAAGATGAAAAATATTCTGCTTATCCATGTTTTATACAATGACTTATGAAAACTGTAAAAATTGCCTATGCACTTCATAAAATGATCGTGATAAATTACGTCGACGTATTATCAGAGCTCGCAAGTAAATAAAATTTACTTCTGTTTTTTGTCCATTAAACTTTTATCATATAAATATAATACTTCGAAAGAATGGAAGAAAAAAGATAAAAATGAAAAATTAGCTGATACTCAGAGTTTATGTAGAAGTCTTATATCGGATCAAGTAGCAAATCTTTGTGATTCATATTGTCAAGATGAAGTTTGCAATAGTGATAATGATTGTTATTGTGTTGTGTGTCGATGATGCATGGACTGAAGAGTAGGGTATTGTAATAAATGTAATCAATGTATGTATTTCGAAAAAGAAGCAGCCAATAATTTTTATTTGAATATATAGCAATAATGTGAAATTCGTTTACTTTTATTTTTAGGTACGTTTGGTTCGACTTTTATCATGTCAACGACGTAGAGATAGTAATAGGGATAGCGAAGATTCTGATTGTTTTTAAAACATTTATTAGTTTTTTCGACGTTGATATTGTTTTATTAGTTCTCTTTTCTACGAAAAACACATTTTTTTATATTTACGATAATCATGATTCTTATGTTATGCAATGTAAATTAATTAGTGTATCGGCGACAGTTGAAACTAAATCAATCTTTAGATAGTAAAGAATATTTGTTTATTTTAAATGAATAAACTAAAGTTATATCAGCATTCAATGACACAAAAGAATTATATTCATATATAGAATGATTGTATTTTTTTTGTAAATGTGTACGAATAACGTAGATGGAAGATCGTTTAGTTCTAAAGCAAATAACTTGGCCAAAAGTTCTGATGTTTTACTATGATGCTCATAAGTTTGATATGGAAAATATCTAATCACGTAATTGTGTCTTACTGTCAATAGATTGTGGCTTATACGCTCGATAAAAATTTATGCAAAAACAGGATAATAATTGATTCAAATTTATTCTGAAAAACTCAATCATAACTGATACAAGTCGATAAAAATCCGTTCCAGAGTTTCTTTTTAAGCATCATGACAAAAAATCACTTATATTCATTACCGATTGAATTCTCTGTTTTTATGTAACTAAAACAAATGTATGTTGATTTCAATCGTATTGAAAATATGTTTTTGCCCATGATAAGTATTAGAAGCATGAACATCTTGCAGACGATCGCATGAAGAAAAAGATTGGTAGAATTTCTTCTGCAACAAAACATTGAATGAGTATAAGTGAATTATCGAATAGTTCAGAATCATTTTCTTCTGACTTTTTTTATAGAGTCTTAAATGTTTATTTTTGCCATTTTTATCAAATTATGCGCTACGATATTCTTTAGAAGAATTTGGGAATCTTTTATTCGAACGAAATTAATAAACTGTTGACGGCTTTGAACTTGCTTTCAAGATAGTTATTATGTAAGAATCGAGCAATAAAAGATGATTCATCTATGGACTTATTCATCAGTAATTTTCTAAACCTTGAATAACTGTAACAAATAATCTGAATGTTTTATAAAAGCTTTGTCATTTTCATTTATACTAGTTTTCATTCTTCGGTTCCTAATCAAACATCATTATAAATATTTTTCTTAGAAATTTCGTGGCATATCCTTCGATAGCAAAAACGGAAAAGAACTACTCATTTCTTGTAGGTCAATCGATATAAAGTATACATCGTCTGATTGAGCACCTATTTTTCTTTTGTGATAT